TTTTTTTTAATCTATTGTGATTTTAATTTATTAAAAGTAAGTTGGTCTACTAGATAAAGTCTTTTCATTAATAGGAGTGGTCTACAGATAAAGTCCTTTCATTAGTAGGAGTGGAAATACTCCAAAGATAATAAAGGTTTCTAAAAATTTCATTATCATCATTATTCTTATTGTTATATTATTACTGTTACTATTGTACCGTTGGACATTCTTTAATTGCAGTACCCTATAAAAAATTATTATTCTTTAAATAGAAAGAGTATATAATGTCCACAAAAAAAGAAAAATACATAAATGGTTGTATTTTGTAGTCCTATGAAAAAATAGAAACAATATATATGAATTGTGATCGATATCAAAATTTATCTTTTTAAGAAAATAGATTTTATTAGTGGTCCTGTTTATTTCACCGATTCAAGCTTAGAATTTGAGTTTTGTTACAGTAAAAAGTTTTCAGAAATAGTCACATTTAACTTTTTACTACAGTAAAAAATTCTCATATAAAATCACATCTCAATTCAAATTATAAATTCAAATTAACGAAGTGAACGATCCCTAACATTTGTACTTTACTTTGATATAATCCATGCACCATTTAACCCGCAAGTCCCCTAAAAGACTTTTCCAGGGATGTCCACTAAAAAAGAAAGGAAAAAGTATTTATCCGTTTCCAAATTGTTGTCCTGTCGTGAAATGAATTTCCAACCAAAAATCATCATGTTATGAAAACCTTCTTTTCCTTTTTTTTTTTTTCTTTTTTTTTGAGGGGATGAGAAAAACGAACTTTGGACAGCCCTACTTGGGTAATTTCAGTTCCAAAAACTTCCAATAAGCAATAAGATCACCACCTACCTAAGTGTATACAATATATTCATCGTTTTCATTTGACCAATAATAGAGCCTGCAAAATCAGGCAGGCCCGGCCACTTCTCTCCACAAAAAAAGCTTGGACTTTAAAACAAGCAGTAAATCAGCCCTCCCATTCATGGGGGCCTAGGTGCAGAGGATAATTGTTAGGCTAGCCTTGAAAAAAGTTTAGTACTACGTGATGGTTACCACTGAAATGATGTATGAACGACACAACTATTTCTCTCAAAAGTTGCAACTGATAAAAGAGACACAATTAAATACTTAAAACACCATTAGGGACCGATCAAATCCTTAAAACACCGTTAAGGACTAGAATCGAGAATTCATTTCAAACACTAATTGTTTGAGCCCTTATTTTGATGAGCTCCTTACGAATTCGGACACCCAACAGATGTAGATCGCCCCTTTGATGATGTATCATGAAGACTTTTCCAACTTTGTTCTTGCGTCACATATTGTCCCCTTTGATAGCTTACTAGTTAACTATCCTCTTTGGTGTTATTATTGCCGGTTTATCATCCTTAAATGCTTTGTCTAGGTTTTATAATTCATCACAAATAGCAAAAATAGTACACATGCATTATAAGTCATAACGTCCGCTTTGGTCTTATTAGTGCCGGTTTATTATCCTTAAATATTTTGTCTAGGTTATATAATTCATCTCAAAAAGCAAAAATAGCACACATGCATGATATAACTGTCTTCTTTTGTGTTGTTATAATTTATTGCTGGTTTTATTATCCTTACATATTTTGTCTAGGTTGTATAATTCATCCCAAAAAGCAAAAATAGCACATATGCATTATGACTGATCTAAACAATAGTCCTAGATCTCTTGAACAAATTTTTTTTTTTCTATCCCATTAGTTGTCCCTCAATGTTATTTTGATGACTCTTTAATTACTTAAGAATTTCAACATTTAGTATTTATTATGCGGCTAAATTCTTAAATTTAGATGATATGGTAAATAGCACTAGGGGATAATCAATTGGACAGGAAATTCGGGACAACATATCTGAACTCCTAGGCCTACATATATGTACCTCAGCTTTTCTTTACCTGGTTTTTGAAACTTCTATGTATTTCCGTGGCTGTACAGTTAACTGTCCTCTTTACGTCTTTATTTGCAGGTCAATCATACTAAAAATGATCATGATTATATCATAAACAATTTCAACCAAAAGAAAAAAAGAGCAAAAAGAGCAGATATACATAATAATGTCTTTCCCTTTAGTTGAAAGAGAAATCCCAATTAGGCCTAGCCACTACTATTTGAGTTTTCTCTGAAAATTTGGACACGACAGTGTTCATTCCATTGGAGAGAGTTTCTCTTGTTCTCTAGCAACCAGGAACAGGAAAAAGTGGTCATCAATGATAACGAAAAAGAGCGAAAAGGAAACCAACTTAGGACCATGCAATTGAAGAATATTTTTATCCATTTAGAGAACTTCTCTTTGTGCAATATGTGAGATGAAAATTGCAGGTGTGGATTATGGAAGATGATAAAGAAAGTTGGGCCTGGTCTGATCTCTTCCATGCAGTAGTGGACGAGAGTTTGCGGCATGGATTGTCATTGTGTTGGCTCCAATCTGTCCCCTGGTCTACACTTATATTTGATGGTAAAAAGCAACCACCCTCTTTATGGCCTAACTACTTCCAAATACTAAAAAAAAAAAAAATGGTCTCAAAAAGGAGCCAATAAGCATTGTGGTCGCTGCTTATTTATTGCTATCCAATGATTTTGAGCACCAAACAACAATTCCTACATCATTGTATATGTATATATGTATTTCTCTGGATGATGCACACACTTTCTTTGACCAACAAAAGAGAAATTGTGGAAACTTTGAGGGGAAAATGTATAGCAGGTTTGCATTCCCGGGGTTTATTAAGTCTACCAGTAGAAAGAAAAGTGTAGGGAGAGAAAATCTTGATCAAGGGTCTGTATCCGATGTGAAGGATAACCGATGTGTCATTGTTCCGGTCAGTGTCACCATGGTTGCCAAAACTTTGGAGAAAAAAGACAATAACTGGTAATTTGTTCCATCTGTCCTTTTCTTTGTGTGTGTGTGTGTTGTACTTGAAGGCGTGTATAGTGATGATGTTGTTGTGTAATGAGATGTTCATTTGTCTAGCAAATAGTTATCGTGTTTACTTAATGCAGGATTGCTCAGTCAACTGCTGCAAGTGATTTGATAGTACAAGTTGGAGGCTCCAACTTTCATTTGCACAAGGTGAGCTAAGAAAATATTGTTCTTGTTGAAATTGAACTAGAATCATCAATCTTTGTAAGACATAAATTGTATATCCGCTTGCATGAAACCAGAGGACGCTTATGTGTGTGTGTGCCTGTGTGTGTGCGTGTGTGCGTTTGTGTGTGTGTGTGTGTTTGTGTTAAGAAACTTGGGGAGATTACTTTAGTAGAATTCATCATTTTGATTTGAAACACATATAATGTCATCAAGAAAATTTTCATCTGCAGATATATTAACATGATTCAGAGTGAAGACTTTTGGACACAACAAAAGTCTGAGTACTAATCTTGAGTTAGCAAACTAATCTTGAGATAGTTGTCGGGCTTTTGGTCTGGATTTTGAAGAAAATTTTCCCGTGACACTTGAATGTTTGGAATCTAACCAATTAGAGCATATAGGCTTTATTTTTTTGGCATCTATGCTCAGTGGCATAAGATCTTGATCATATCCTAAGTACTTCTTCTGCATTATAATTTGAAGGAGCTGTATTGCTTCATCCGAAACTTGTTGAAAGTTTCAATTGATCCCCAAAGATCGAATAATCTAATGATGATTTTGTGACTTCCTAAGCTAAATATCGTCATGTTAGTCTCACCAATTGGATATAATGTCTTGTTTAGACTTACCAATTGCCTAAACTAAATAAGATACCAATTTTTACATTCTTGAAACTTGCATATAACATCGGTTTTTTTTTTTTTTTTTTTTTTTTTTTTTTTTTTTTTTTTTTTTCCAATGGTCTCAAGAAGTGGATATTTGAACAGAATGGTATTTGAGAAAAGCAATGGAGGGAGAGAAACCAACCTGAAGATACAAATAGACAACCTTCCGGGAGGGGCCAAAGCTTTCGAGTTGGCAGTCCGATTCTGTTATGGCTGGAAGTTTGATCTTACATCTTCCAACATTGCTCCTCTATACTGCGCTGCTCATTTCTTGGAAATGAGCGATGATCTAGAACAAGGAAATCTTATATCCAAATCCGAGGCGTTTCTGAGCTTTTTAATATTTACGTCGTGGAAAGACACATTTCAAATCCTCAAAAGCTGCGAGGCCATTTCTCCGTGGGCCAAAGAGCTGCAAATCCTGAAGAGGTGCTCAGAATCCATTTCTTTGAAGGCCTGCACAAACCTTAAGGACTTCAGTTCCGGAGAAGAAGGTGCAAATTGCTTGCCAGCGAAATCGAAAGTTGAGGAGGAAGGTGACAATTGGTGGTTTGAAGATGTTTCGCTCCTTAGAATAGATCACTTCATTGAAGTGATCCAATCCATGAAAAGTAAAGGGATGAGACCAAACCTTGTTGGGTCATGTATAGCTCATTGGACCACTAAATGGCTCTCCAAGATCACTTTTGAGGTTGACACACCAAATCCGAAAAACATGACCCACCAATTACACAGAGTCACGACCGAATGTTTGATTAGAGTACTTCCAACAGAGGAGAACTCAGTCACTTGCAATTTTCTACTTCACCTTCTTAAGGCAGGCTTGGTGATGCAAATCAATTCTGCATTATTGGAAGCGCTAGAACAAAGAATCACGTGCATGCTGGAGCAATGTCGCGTTTCGGATCTCCTGGTTAAGAATTATGGAGATGAGGACAGTGTCTATGATGTAGGCATTGTTAGCAGGGTGGCGGAAGCTTATCTTTCTTTAGCTTCAAGCAACCTCAGATCGAAAATATTGGCTGTTGGAAGGTTGGTGGATGGCTATCTTACACTAGTTGCAAGAGATGAGAAACTTAAGGTGAAGAGTTTCCAGTCACTTGCAAAAGTTTTGCCAAAAGATGCTCGGTATTGTGATGACAATCTTTACAGAGCCACAGACATGTATCTCAAGGTATTGATATACAAGTTTTGATAAAATGGCATTCATACTGTGTGCCTGATTGTGTTAGAACATTTGTCCATATATGTATACACACACACACACACACACACAATTTGAGTTCATTTTTTGTTGTTTCTTAAATAAAAAGGGCTCATGGATAAAGTTTGATGCACCATATATGACTGTTGGTTGAGCTCAAAAAATGTTCTCATTGCGTAAACTATGAAAAAAAAAAGTAGAGATAATTTTCATTTAAATAGGAACAAAGCTACATATTTCTATAATTGAGTGTAGTACGGATCGCATAGTTATAATTCTTCTGAGTAGGGACGCGTGCCTCCACTGATCAATACGTGGCTCTAGCGCTATGTACGACCCCAGGCAGTAAGCACATTAACAAAACAATTGAGATGGGACGGGTCTGAGGATACAAGCAACCTATCTATAATTTGCGTTCTGGTGAATTATAAGAATAGCACTTTCAGTGTGTTTTTATTCGAATATACTAATTACTCAGAAAAGCAATATGGATGAATAACTAGACTACATAAGTGATGGCTTTTGATTTGCATCATAGAGTTTAAAAGTTATCAATTGCATGAATTTTATACATGAAATGGATGTTATCCTTATCTTGCTGTAAGTTTTAAAATCACATGTTTTCAACTGATTGATGTTTCAATTTTGCAGGCACATCCTAACTTAATAGAAGAAGAAAGGACAAGCTTATGCAAATTCCTGGAGTACCATAGACTTTCGCAAGAAGTTCGCGAGCACGTGATGAAGAACAACCGCTTGCCATTGAAGATTGCAACAAGGTTTATCCTTCTTGAGCAAGTTAACATGACAAGGTCAAAGACAACTGTGGGATCAAGTCTCCAAAAAACAAAGACTCATGCAATTCTTAGGGCAAATAATAAAAGCCTAGAGAAGGGATGGATAAAATCCCAAAAGGAAATAAAGAAGATGACAAAGGAGGTTGAGACCATGAAGGTTCAACTCAATGATCTGCAAATGTGTAAGCTTAAGCTTCTGAAACAATTGAAGAGATGTAATGTTTGAAGAATGGTTGCTTTTATTAGAAATTAGAGTTGGGTTTTTTTTGTTATGCTTTGTAAGCTTGACTTTGCCTTGTTAATATCACAAAATTCCCGTGTAAAATATAAGTAGTTCTTCCTTTTGTGAAGAGCACCAAAGTTAATATTTTTCTTATTTGGTTATCTTTTTGCACTAAAAGACTTCTTAAGCGTAGTCAAATTTGTACAGGAAAAACCTTCTCAGCTTATGATTATGATACTATTAAAGGGCTGTCTCTTTTTTTTTTTTTTTTTTTTCTCTCCCGTACCATTTGGCTGAGAAAACCACAAACTACCCAAAAGCGGCTATACCTTAAACATTTTTAGAAAACTCACTGAATCATAATATACAAAACTCACGGGCAGATCGACCATAAGCTATGCTTTAAACTTGACCTTAATTAGGTCAAGGATCCCATCACATTGATAGATATTCCCCATGAAAGTAATCCACCCAATCAATAGAATAAGAAGTGGCAAGATGAGTCAAGGCAAGATTATGTAGTCCCACACCAGTGGGGAAGGTCATGAGAGATGGCTAATAAGGCACCATCTCCCAATTCCCATAGCATGAGACCTTTATGTGTAAAGTGCAAGAGCAAGGACCTCTTGCGTACTTTAGGCCTTAAAGCGGAAAATATCATATTACCTTCACTATGCATAATTGCTAGGGACTGATTTCATAGATTTAACGAAAAAAGCTATAAAAGGGGGGGGGGGGGGGGTTTCCTAATTTTATTCTTAGTGTACTTTTATTCTTTCCCTTCAAACTTTGTATAGAGAAACTTTAACCATTGAGAGAAAGATAGTTTAAGTTTTGAGTAACTTGAGCCAAATTTGGAAGGTGTGACAGAACAGATTTCACCAATGGCAGGTCGACTATGCACCAAAAGAGATTAGACATCTAAGAGTTACTTCTTATGTCATATGCAAAATGCACATATTTAGAAAGACAGTTATGACATTAAACACATATGGGACTATGAATTATCTGACACATCAGAAGGACAAAGAATAAACTTGTCACGTTTTATCAGATAATACTTGGCTGTAAAATTCAAACAAGGTAAGATAATTTAAATTAATTAATGAAAAACACTATTTGCATCTATGGAAATTTAGGTTGACTAAAGGAAAATAAATATCTTCAGTTGATCCTAGCAGTATTATCATTATCTTCAGAAAGAATTACACTAATGTACTTATTTATTCCTAATGTTAATTTTTTTTTTCAAAATTTTCTATGTGCAATTAGTCCTCCTTTAATTAAAGATTGTGTCAAAATTCTGAGCCAGATACTGCAGAGAGGATGATATATTAGCTGTATGCAACCAGAGATATAACTATAATGCCATTGTAATGATGGTCAAACAACAAATATGTTGTTGGATAAGTGGAAAATTATGGACACCCACTTAACTAATATTTACAAAAATAACAATAAATAAGAAAAATAAAAATAACATAACAGGTAAAAAAAATTCAACATAAATGGTCCAATATAGCAATACTGTACAGACATTAGCTGTTGAAGCAAAACTAGAAACAACATGCCTTGTGATGATAGACACAAAGCAGTCCTTTCATGTCCACTATAAAAGCCAAGCGCAAATCATTCTGTTGAGAGAACTTCACACTTTCATGTCTAAAGTATACACCAATTTTCGCGATGCAGAAACCATCGAAGGATTGAAACGCCGTTGAAGAATGCAGAAGTAGCAGCACTACTGCTCCAGAGTGTGGTAGCAATTGGCCATTCAGGATCAAACTCACAACTGATCATATGAGATGGGACAGCCTCAAGATTTCGCATTCGGAAGCGCTTGAAGAGCACATTTTGGTGAACATCGGCGAGGCTAACCGGAGAGTGTTGGATGCTTGGATTCCTATTGACTTTTCAATCCATGATGTAGATACTGGAGAGACTTGTAAGGTAAAGTTGGCAAAGAAGGAGTCTTTTTGGTTTGAGCCAATAACACCTTTTCATCATGAGAATGTTATCAGAAAGAAAAAGTCTTCTTCTTATTTTAGTCCAACAATGATGGAGGAAGTGACTTGTTATAATCTGGAAAAGAGAAGAAAAGAGTTTGCTTATTCCATGGAGCCTTTTAGACAGATTACAAAGAGGAGTCTTAGTTATGGTCAAGAGATTGGATTTAGGTGGTCAGACTAAAGCTGTTGGTAGTTTAGAATTTTCAGTTTTGTATGTACCAAGATTGGACTTGCTCAACTATAGATTTTAAGTGCCAATAATTGTATACAATTTTTCCAAGTTCTATTGCAAGTAAATGCAAGTATTCTGAAGGGACCTTGTCATGGAATGGAAGGCATATATGTTTCTTTTGCTTCTTGTTTTTGTCAAAACTTGGATTAGGAAAGTGAAATTTTTGTTGTACAAGGAAGACAGAGAAAGATTCCTAGTATATTGTAAGTAAAAAGTTACCATGTTCTTTTGTTCAGCCTTTTATGTTGTTAGCCACACATTGATGATTCCATGCATATATTATAAAGATGAACAATTCCATAGTTGAACTTGCAAGGTGTAGCCTTTTTTCTTTTTTCTTTTTTCCTTCCTTCTTTCTTTCTTTTTTGAAGTTTTCTCAATCTTTTTTTTTTTCATTATACAAGTCAGTCGAAAAGCAATTCCTCTTAGAGAAATTGTAATATGTGTTAGTTAAGATCATAAGTTGTTTGAGTGTTAAAACATGAAAATTCGTGTGTTAAAGGGACTTCACAAGCATTGCAGCGACAAAAGAGACGTTGCAGCGGACAAACTGCACAAAACTGTGCAGTTTGATTCGGCCAAACCAGCTGCAGCGCCAACTTTAGGCACTACAGCTGAAATGCTATGCACTGCAGCACGAAACTGCGTGCTGCAGCGCCTTTATCCAGGCCCTCGGGCCCGTTTGGCTTCGTCCCGCGAGCTGCAGTGGGAAAAACACTCGCTGCAGCGCCAATTATGCAGAAAGCATATATGAATTTGTGTTTTATGATCTGAAACGATTTGACCGTTGCATTCCTTGGTGATATATTTTCACACATATCTGAACACCTATTAGCAATAGATATTACTATTGTAATAGGTGTATTAATCCATGAAGAGATACCTTTACATTGAAAATGTACCTCTATGTGAATGGTTGTAATGTTTGAAGATGATAAATCCATTCATGAAATGACACCTCTATTTTTATTAATTCTCCATAAAATTTACAGACTTAATTAATGTTCTAGAACACAATATTATTGCTAGATATTGTGTTCAAGAGTTTGTTGTATCTTAAAAGTAATTTACAATAGAAACTCATTAGTAAATTTTGAGAAGTTAATACAAATAAAACCTTAAAAAAAATATTCTTATAAGCCTTAAATCTTCTTATTTTCTACATTCTTTTCATCTTCTACACTCAAATTCTCCCACAGTTCTTGATTAACTTTTATGAGTCCCACAAATATACTGTGCCTGTTTGTTTCTAGTCTCGTTTTCATTTTTCACAATTTTCGAGAAAAAAAACTGAAAACGCCTACAAAAAACGCGTTTGGCGTAAAATTTTTTAAAATCAAAACTTAAAACACATGTTTTCATTTTCTCTTTTTTCTTCATGATTTTGAAAACGAATTTTTAACTTTTATGAGTCCCACAAATATACTGTGCCTGTTTGTTTCTAGTCTCGTTTTCATTTTTCACAATTTTCGAGAAAAAAAACTGAAAACGCCTACAAAAAACGCGTTTGGCGTAAAATTTTTTAAAATCAAAACTTAAAACACATGTTTTCATTTTCTCTTTTTTCTTCATGATTTTGAAAACGAATTTTTTTCGTTTTCATTTTTCTTGTTTTCATTTCCAAACTTCTGAGATTGAGCGCCCCCCCCTCCCGGTGTCTGCG